ATTAGAATACCTTGCCATTGGTGGGTACTTGGTAATGTATATCTGGCCTCATGAAATAAAATTCAATACAGGCCAGAAAGGAAGGAGTTATACGGTAAGGCGGTCATATGTTAAGCTGCTTCCATTGCCTAAACAGCAAGAAACCTTGGCTGCCATCCCAACTATGTCAAGAACTGTAGCAAGTAATATTTTAATTAAATCTTCCATTTTGCTCCGATGAATCCGGAATGTAATCCCACTAACTAAATATTCCCCTAGATGCATCCATCTAGGGTGGGCACCATTTTATATTCATGGACTGTGACCACAGATGGGCTTTGCAAGTCTAAGGAGGTCCCAAAAGAACCATTTGATAGTTTTATTGCCAGTGTTGATATTCAGATATGGATAACATCCAAGCACCTTAGCTAGGCTAATATTCTAAAATGATATATGATGCCCATTCATCTCATTTTGCTTATTTGCAAAAGCAATCACAGCATACCAATTTGTATCACCCTATAGAGCTTCTATCCTGCCCCCTGCCTAGAAAGCTTAATGAGATTTTATGTGGATGAACCTTTAAGCTCATGTATCATCGAGCTATTGATTTTTTGCATCTTGTTTTGTTTTTGTTGTGTGTGTGTCACCTCTGCGCATCTCGCTTTCTCTAACATTCTGGCCCTCCTCTGAAATTTCACAGCACCTGAAAGACAAAAGCATACTTCCTCTCATATTTGAGAGAAGACATTGACTAGGTCATTGATTACCGTAGCCACCTGGATTTCTTCTGATCCTTTTAAATTAGTCCAGTTGGCAATTATGGTAGCTAATTCAGCTGTGTATTGTATGAATTCCCTCATTCATTTTCCCTGAAGATACCCCTACTCAACTTCAGTGGATTTTCCCAGGTCTAATGTTATGAGAAAGAAACAGCGACATGTATAACTTCTACAGGTTTAGCCTCTCTTTATCTGAAATCAGAAACCTGCCAGATTTATTTATTTACTTACTTACTTTATTTGTATACCATCTTTCTCTGCCCGCAAGCAAATCAAGGCGGTTAACAGTCGGCAACAATCCAATGCCCCCAATACCACAGAATGCAATTAAAAACATTAACATTTATATAAATAAAAATGTAATGTTTGGGTTGTTGTAGGTTTTTCCGGGCTATATGGCCATGTTCTGGAGGCAATTTTTCTCCTGATGTTTCGCCTGCATCTATGGCAAGCATCCTCAGAGGTAGTGAGGTCTGTTGGAAGTAGGAAAAATGGGTTTATATATCTGTGGAATGACCAGGGTGAGACAAAGGACTTTTGTCTGCTGGGGCTAGGTGTGAATGTTTCAGCTGATCACCTTGATTAGCATTCAATGGCTTGGAAGTGCCAAAAATTACAACAGCAAAACAACAGAGGGGAAACAAACAGGCACATAAAATCACTCTCAACCAAAGATTCCCCCCAGGCACTTCCAAGCTATTGAATGCTAATCAAGGTGATAAACTGAAACATTCACACCTAGCCCCAGCAGACAAAAGTCCTTTCTCTCACCCTGGTCATTCCACAGATATATAAACCCATTTTTCCTACTTCCAACAGACCTCACTACCTCTGAGGATGCTTGCCATAGATGCAGGCGAAACATCAGGAGAAAAATTGCCTCCAGAACATGGCCATATAGCCCGGAAAAACCTACAACAACCCAGTGATTCCAGCCATGAAAGCCTTCGACAATACAATGTAATGTTTGTTTGTGGGATTAACATAACTCAAAAACTGCTGGTTGAATTGACACCAAATTTGGACACAATACACCTACCAGGCCAACAAGTGACCATCACTCAGAAAAACACAGAAAAACACAGCAGAAGAGACTTAAAAAGCCAAAAAACAAAAAAAAAATACATTACAACGCATGTGCACAACCACATATATATGCAAACACACATATATACACATACACACAAAACACATAAACACAGACTGGGCCACAGCAACTCATGGCAGGGGACGGCTAGTGTAATATAAAACCATAGCAAGAACAATAAAAACATATATCATTAGTGTCTCCTTGTTAAAACACACTGTCCAATCAACGTCATCCAAAGACTGAAGCTTTTTGCCAGCAGCCTCCTTCTTCCACCTTGAGTGTTGTTCTCCGGCTCATTCATTTATAAGGCAGCTGGTGGACTTCCTGGATATCTATATAAATAAAAATGTAATGTTCGTTTGTGGGATTAACATAACTCAAAAACCACTGGACGAATTGACACCAAATTTGGACACAATACATGTATGAGGCCAACGAGTGACCATCACTCATAAAAATACTGAAAAACACAGCAGAAGAGACTTTAAAAGCCATTTTTTAAAAAAAAAACAACCATTACAACACATGTGCAAAACCACACATATATACACATATACACAAATATATACACACACATATACTCACACAAAGCACATATACACAGACTGGGCCACAGCAACGCGAGGCAGGGACGGCTAGTGTCCTATAAAGTACTAGTACTATGTGGGGGGGGGGTCACTCTTTCAGGCTCTCAGTTTTTGTCCAGCCTCATATCTCATACACAACACAACTAGCAAATGAACACAATGTTGGAGAAAGACGTGAGGCTGGAGAGAGATGCAAGCATCTGTGAAATAGATGTGGATCTGTATTGAGCAGTACACTTGGATTCCTACCATTTCACAGATCCTCAGTCTCTCTCCAGTCTTGCATCTCGTTCATTTCTACCTTTGCTGCATATGAGACACAAGGCTGGTGAGAGACTGAGGATCTATGAAATGTTGGGAACCTAAGCATAGCGCTTAACACAAATCCACACTACCCCCTATTTTAAATGTTGTGCTCATCACAAATCCTGCATCTTCAAATCTAGCTCTCTCTTCAGTCTTGCAAATACAGCACATACTACACCACTTCTATGCCGCCCACCAAGCCAAAATTGAAACACTTCTGGTGCTGGTAATTTCAGATTAGGAAGATTCAACTTGTGTACATTCATTTCTTCATTTTCGCCTATCCCTAGTTAATAATTAATGTAGTTATGCCATTTTCAGAATACTTCATCTTGCTATTGTCCTCTAGCATAGAAATATTACAATCCATTCAAGTTATGCTGCATAATGCAGGGTTGTAGGCTATGGAATATAATAGGGAGCCAAAGAAGACGGTATGTGACGCTTCCAACTGTAAGATTTTACAAGGATTTCTTTATTTGGATAAGTATGAAGAGACAAAAAGAGAAGATAAAGGCCATTAAGACTAAAAAGAAGACGAGATGACATGAAAGAGCGTAACTCCTATTTTAGCAGTACACTCTACCATGATATTTCAGAAATAGATATGGCAGAAAACATACATTTGTATATGTATCTTCGACATTTCATTTAAGCAGACTGAAATGTGTATTATGGGTGCAGTGATGTGTATATGATGCAGCATTCAAGGCAAAATAGATTTTCTAGAAGCTGCGTGGGTAGAATGTGCAGGAGAAGAAATTGTGCAGAAATAAATAAATCCCTTCCACAGAAACCGCTTCTGCTATGTTTCACAATTTTACTCCTTTCAGTATTTCATTTGTACTAGGTCAGTACGAAATCCCATCCCCCAAATTTGGCAAATCCCTTTCAGGGATGCATTTATTATTCCTCCTTTGTGTTTGGATCTGTATCTGTATATAATGTCTTGAAGTTTTTGCAACGTTCTTAAAAAAAATCTTTAATCTGATAATTTCCTTATTTTATCACACTTCTTATAGTAGCACAATAATTTGAAGACTTCTTCTGGACATGTCTACACATGCAAATACCCCTCATGCCAGAAAGTAGAGATCCCTCCATCTCTTTAACGTGTGTGGTTCACCTAGCTTGGTCCAAACCTATTCAGGACTTGTCTGTTTCACTTGGTCCAAATGTATTCGGGACTTTGAAGGTTTTTGCAGGCATTATATATGGTGACATGCATTCAGCTTAGTTCACAAACATGGACATGTCTGGAAAACTATGGTGGGGCACTAGTGTATTTTGGCTGGAAGTGAATGTGCAGTTCTGATATGGTTCCTAGGCTGTTTTTGTACAGTGGGTGTTGTTTGTTATGTGATGGATCTGATCTTTCTGAGCAGTAGGATGTAAGTAATACATACCAATCTTTATCAGATAGAAGATGCTTTCATAGTTGGTTAATTAAGTCTCAAGGTTTCTGTGAGTTTTCTGAACTGTATGGCCATGTTCCAGAAGCAATCTCTCCTGACATTTCACCCACATCAGTGGTAGGCATCCTCAGAGGTCTGTTGGAAACTAAGCAAGTAGGGTTGTAGGTTTTTTTCATGCTATATGGCCATGTTCTAGAGGCATTCTCTCCTGACCTTTCGCCTGCATCTATGGCAAGCATCCTCAGAGGTAGTGACCTCATCCATTATTCCGTATTCCTATGTTCAATTACACTGTTTACTTATTTATAGAGGGGCCAATAAAAGGTCAGTGACAAATGGAGAAGAGTAAGGGACTATGAAGCCTTCATAGGCCCAGGGAGTACACAGGTCTTATTATGGGAGCAATCTGTTGAAGATAAAAGGTCACAGAACACAAATCCATGGGTAGCTAGTGCTGCCTTAAGGGAGATACACACACACACACACCTCATACAGCCTGATGCATAAACTTAATGTTGTGCAGTTATTCCAGCTGGAAATGATAAACTCACTATAAAGGTGACTATTATAACTAGTAACCACAACAAATAATTTATCCATATTCTGATGCACTTGCCATCTTATAGGACATATTTACTGCATAGGTAAAGGTTTTCCCCTGACATTAAGTCTAGCCGTGTCCGACTCTAGGGGTTGGTGCTCATCTCCATTTCTAGGCTGAAGAGCTGACATTGTCCATAGACACCTCCAAGGTCATGTGGCCGGCATGACTGCACAAATACAGAAGTCTCCTATGTTGCTGCAAGTTTTAGCTAAATGACATTTTGCTTTCCTTTTGCAGATTGTGGATGGCAAACTATGGTTCCAGTTAGACTGTGGTGTCGGACCAGGCATTCTGGGAATTTCTGGCAGGGCGGTGAACGATGGGAGCTGGCATTCCGTCTTCCTTGAGCTGAATCGGAACTTCACCAGCCTGTCCCTCGACGACAGCTATGTGGAACGACGCAAAGCTCCCCTGTATTTCCAGACGCTGAGCACGGATAGCTCCGTTTACTTTGGAGCGCAGGTGCAGGTGGATAATGTCCGAAGCCTGACAGACAAGAGGACCACACAGGTCATGAGTGGGTTTCAAGGGTGCTTGGATTCTGTTATCCTGAACAACAATGAACTGCCACTCCAGAACAAGCGAAGTAGCTTTGCTGAAGTAGTCGGTCTGACCGAACTGAAGCTTGGCTGCGTGCTGTATCCCGATGCCTGCGAGAGGAGCCCCTGCCAGAATGGAGGAACTTGTACCAGTGTGCCATCTGGTGGTGAATATCTTACATTTAATGTTGTGGGAAGGGAAGATCTTGCTTTTACATTCAGTGTCTCATGCCAGTAGTAGGTTAAAAACATGGTCTTTTTGGCATATCCACAGAACTGCCAACAGAATATTCCATTCGAACTTCTGCCATGTTCTGCTCCTTATAATCAATAGCAACATCGAGCAAGCTCACCTTTCTGACAACGACAATGGAAGCATTTTCAGAGTTTGCTAGGTCACTGCTGGTCTAGTGATTGATCTATAGCATCTATACAGGCATGTAGCCAGGGGGGGGGGGGGGTGGGGGGGGTGGGGGGGTGCTTGAGCTTGGGGCTTTTGCTTTCAGCCCCCACCCCCCCCCACCCCCCCACCGAAAGTCTTCATGGTGGTGGATTGTTTCCGCGGAAAACGGAAAAGGCCTCCGTTCTCCCTTCTCTTTTTCGCCAAAAGCTTACCGTGGTTCATTATTTAAACTGTTATGTTTATTCATATCATGATCTGATCACCATGCTCAATATATCCATATGCATGGGGGTATTGGGGTAATGATACAAAAGGTTTGCTAGGGTAGACCCTCTTTCACTCAGACTCAGCCCCCCCCCCCCACCCGAATCAAAATCCTGGCTACGGGCCATCTATATAAATAAAAATGTAATGTTTGTTTGTGGGATTAACAGAACTCAAAAACCAGTAGGCCAATTGACACCAAATTTGGACAGCATACACCTAACAATCCAATGTATGTCCTTCACTCAAAATTTTTTGATTTTGTCATTTGGGAGTTGTAGTTGCTGGGATTTATAGTTCACCTACAATCAAAGAGCATTCTGAACTCCACCAATGATGGAATTGAACCAAACTGTGGCACACAGAACTCCCATGACCAACAGAAAACACTAGAAGGGTTTGGTGGGCATTGACTTTGAGTTTGGGAGTTGTAGTTCACCTACATCCAGAGAGCACTGTGGACTCAAACAATGATGGATCTGGACCAAACTTGGCACAAATATTCCATATGCCCAAATATGAACACAGATGGAGTTTGGGGGAAAATAGATCTTGACATTTGGGATTTGTAGTTACTGGGATTTATAGTTCACCTACAATCAAAGAGCATTCTGAATCCCACAAATGACAGAATTGAGACAAATTTCCACACACAACCCCCATGACCGACAGAAAATACTTAAGGCCATGCAGTCCAACTCCCTTCACCAGGGCAAGAAAACATAATCAAATATCTCTTGACAAAAGAGCCATCCAGCCATAGATTTAGATAGATAGATATGATTCACACCCACACAGATATAATATCATAGATTTGAAAGGGACCCCTAAAGAAGGACAATTCTATGTTGCATATTCCAGAGTAGGCAAACCACATCAACACTGACAAAGAAACAAGAAATACTGCTTACCCACAAGCATAAAGAAATTACATATATTACAAACCAACACTTTCTCATTACTTTATTTTCCAGATCACCAGACTGGGCCACAGCAACGCGTGGTAGGGGATAGCTAGTTACATATAAGACAGTTAGAAGACCAGCTTATATTGAGAACAGTCATGTCATTGTAGTATTCCAAATGAGGCATGAACTTGCAAACGGATTGTGAGTTCATGACTTACCTGAAGTGCCCAAAAAGTTAGGATCTAAGTAGCAACAATCAGTGTGAAATCACCTTTAGAATATGAGGGGGGGGGGGGGACGGGACCGGAGCTTAATATTATAATAGTTTGCTCACCCATGACTGCAGAGGTTGAGAGCATGTTTTCCACAACCTGTGTCCTGGTAGCTAAACAAACACATATTTCATGGACACATATTTATTTGTTTTGCCCTGAGACAACTATTAACTGCCGGTGTCAAATGTCAAATTTATTTATTTATTTACTACATTTATATACCACTTTTCTACCCCTAAGGGAACTTAAAGCAGTTTCCAACATTATAAAGGCAAAATTCAATGCCGTAGATACATGTGAAAATCAAAAGATGATAGCAAGAGAATAACATATAACTATAAATTAACCTAACCAAATTGAAACATAAACATAAAAGAACATTTGGACATAAAGCATAAAAAATTAAACATTGATAATATAATAACATTTATATTAAAACCCACTGATAAACAACACGATTTAAAAACAGTTATTAAAATCACACCATCCAAAATCAAATTCATAGTTGTTCCATTGGTCTGTTCACTATTCCTTATTATTTTTTTGCACTACAAGTTTTGCTGTCCAAAAGCTTGGTCAGATAACCACATTTTTACTTTCTTCCTGAATGTCGAGAGGGAGGGGGCAGCTCTAATTTCACTAGGGAAGGAGTTCCATAGTTGAGAGGCTACTGCTGAGAAGGCCCTGTCTCTTGTCCCCACCAGTCGCACCTGCAAGGAAGATGGAATCAAAAGCAGGGCCTCCCCAGATCTTAATCTCCAAAGTAGATCATAGAAAGAGATACATTCAGACAAAGTGAGCTGGGCTGGAACCATTTAGGGCTTTAAAAGCTAAAACCAGCACTTTGAATTTTGCTTGGAAGCAGGCTGGCAGCCAGTGGAGCTGGTGTAACAAGCAAGTTGTATGCTCCCTGTACTCTGCCCCAGTTAGAAATCTGGCTACCCCCTGTTGAACCACTAAAAACTTTTGATCAGTCTTCAAAGGCCACCTTATGTAGAGCGTGTTGCAGTAATCTATTCTTGATGTAGCAAGAGCATTGACCACCATGGCCAAGTCAGAATTCCCAAGGTATGGGCGCAACTGACACACAAATTTTACCTGTGCAAAAGCTCCCCTGGCCACTACCGAGACCAGGGCTTCCAGGTTCAACGATGAATCCAGGTGATCTCCCAGGCTGCAAACATGTATCTTTAGGTGGAGTGTAACCTCATCAAGCACTGCCTTTCACCTTACCAGGAGGACCTCTGTCTTGTCTAGATTCAATTTCAATTTGTTCGCCCTCATCCAGACCGTCACAACTGCCAAGCACCGGTTCAGGACCTGAACACCCTCCTTAGTAGCAGGTGGAAAGGAGTGATAGAATTGGACGTCATCTGCATACAGATGACATGGAACTCCAGAACTCCGTATGATCTCCCCCAACAGCTTCATGTAGATGTTAAACAACATGGGGGGATAATATTGCACCCTGTGGGCCCCACAAAACAATGGTTGGGCTCAAGCATGTGTCCTCCAGCAACACCTTCCAGGAACAGTCCTCCAGGAAGGACCAGAGCCTCAAAACAGTACCTCCAAGACCATGATCAATGGTATTGAAGGCTGCTGAGGGGTCCAAGACAAGCAACAGGGACACACACCCCCTGTCCTGTTCCCAGCATAGATCATCCATTTAAACATTTGATCGTTTTCATGTTCCTCACCATGGGCAATGTCCCATCTGCTTTCTTCTTCAAGTTAAATGTTATAAGCCAGAGGAAATTATATGGGAACCACTCCTAGGAATTTGAGGGCCAATAAGGATCAGAGAAGCATCACAAACAGATCAGTTTATATCTCTCATAAGAAAGTTCTACATATTTCCGCTTAAAACAACTTTTAATGTATAGATTGACAATCTTGCATCACAATCACCTTTCACAGCTCTTCTTATTATATTCATCCTCTTTAGCCAGGCATCCTATATTATTCAAATTTAAACCTCATTTGGTTCATAGCATATCTTAGCACCTGAACATACCTACTACTTTCTAGTTTGTTTGGTTTTATGGGAAGTAAACTGGAGAACACATCATCTGAACTGAAGTTATCCCAGGGAGGCAAATGGAAAGGCTTTATTACCTTAAGTAAAAACAGTAGTACGGTATGATATGCACAATCAAGACATATGTCAGGGCTAACTTGTATATTTAAGAGCTAGTAATCTATAAATGTCAGTGAAGAAGAAAAAAAGAAGATAAAGAGAAGTAGGATAATGTTTCAAAGTATGTAATAGCTCTTGAGAAAATTGCTAAACAAGATTATTTATGTCCCTGGGGAGTAAGAATAAAACGAATGCTTACTTTTAACTTGGATGGGCATATTACAAATGAGGTCAAGCATCCCCCGCATGAATTAACTAAATAAATAAATAAATAAAAGGGTCCAGGCTCATCTTCTTTTTGATTTCATCGGAGTTTATTTGCACAATTGCTCAGCAAAAAAAAACAAAACCATGATACACAAATTGAAACCTTTCTGCCAAATCTCTTTAGGACAATTTCCCCTTGGCTTCCACCCTTGACGGGGTTGCATATTTCACTTTTCCATTGGCTGCCAGGAGGAACGAACCGTGTACATTCGCTTCCAAATGATGGCCCATTTTATTATGAAAGGAATACAAGCAGCTCGCGTCTCAATGGCTTGGCGCTCCGTTTTCTGCTCCAAAGCTACTTAGGCCTCCATGCATTGCAACCACTATTGGATTGCAAACGCCCTGAGGGGATATTTCAGCATGCCTGCTCTCTCATTCTCTCGTTAGGAAATCTATTTGCTTGGGTTTTTTTTTTCACTGTCTCAGCAGTATATGTAAATAAAGAATTGTTATGGTGCCATAACTCTAAAGCAATGGGCCCTAACTATACATCACCCGATCTATAAAGCAATCTGCTCTGACATTGTCATGACCACACTTCGCTTCTCTTCTATTTTTCCCTCTTTCCCAAGGCAAAATAATTTGTTTGCCCAAGTGATTGCCTGTACATAAAACAGCATATATAATTAAATTGGATTGAGCAGAAGGCCTTACACCATGTACAGATGCCTTCTGATGCAGATGCGTTTGGCAGAGTATTTGCTGGAAGAGATGCCGCCTGTAATCATAACAAAACAATATCCAAAGGCCTTTTCGCACATTGTCCAGCAACACACAAACCTGGGCTTGTCACTGGGAGCAAGACTCCAGAAACTGCAGCTAGGATGGACAAAGCAGCTTATTTCTAAGCTGTGTATCACATGTGTCTTTTTTTCACCCGTATATCCAGTATTGGAATGAATCTTAGGAGACTACTTTAACAACCCACAGGAAACATGGCATTAGAGCACAGTTTATGAAAGCAGTGTTTTCTCTTCAGATTCGTTGTTATGTGCCTTCAAGTCAACTCTGATTTATAGCAACCTTGTCCTCTTAACCTGAGAAAGTGTGACTTGCCCAAGGCCACCCAATGGGTTTCCACAGCTGAGTTGTGATTTGCAACCTGGTCCCCTGGAACACTAGCGCAGCTGTCAAATTACAATATAATTCTGGCTCTTATCAAATTCAGTATGATCCCCATAGCCGTAGGTGATATATTTGTGAAGTTAACATATAAATAGGAAACCGTGGGTAATAGTGAACCCTATTGAAATTAGCAAATTCTTCTGTAGGAATCTGCTAAGTTCTCCAGTGCAACTCCACGGTAGCTTCCAGTAGAAGCATACCAGAGAATTGCCTGGAGGACCTAGAAAATATATAGAAGTAGCATGTTTGGCAGATGTGGATATGTAAAGTCACAGGTACAGTTCCTGCAGGGATGGGGATTGTGCTGTTGTGATTTCTTAATGTGTTTTCCTTCTTTGTATTCTGTATTGTAAAATGTTAAGGAAGTGCTAAAACCCCTGAATAACTAGAGTCCTGGACACTGAGACTGGTTGCTTTGTAATCAAATTTCCAAATATTATAATCATCCCCAGTTTTAGGAGAATTCAGTGGCATGGGGAGGAAAAAATATGTTCCAAACGAATGGTGTGAGAACCATTTGCTTTGATATAAAGAAGACTCATACATTTAGAAAACATCTAGGAGCATTATTCCTTTTAAAACAAGACATGTGTTTCCTACATGCTTTGTTTCATTGTTTGACTGGAAATGGGTCAAAATGATAATGCAAAATGATTTCAGGGAAGCATGAATGCAGACTGCAAATTCCCTCCTCTCCCCTATTTCGTGTCAGGAGCAAACCAAACAGTTGTATTGTATTTTTAAAAAAAACACAAAGTTTGCAAACTTGGCATTCTATTAAATGTCCTTTGACCAGTAGCTGGCCACAAGGTCCTCCGTTGTGCATGTGGCAGGGCTCAGGTTGCATTGTAGTAGGTGGTCAGTGGTTTGCTCTTCTCCACACTCGCATGTTGTGGACTCCACTTTGTAGCCCCATTTCTTAAGGTTGGTTCTGTATCTTGTCGTGCCAAAGCGCAATCTGTTCAGCACCTTCCAAGTCGCCCAGTCTTCTGTGTGTCCAGGAGGGAGTCTCTCATCCAGTATCAGCCATTGATTGAGGTTCTGGATTTTAGCCTGGCACTAAATTTTGCCTTTATAATTTCTCCAGTGGAGTAGAGTGCAGACACCCTGCGATAATGTGGCATGTCTCATTAAGAGCCACATCCACTGTTTTAGCATGATGAGATGTGTTCCACACTGGGCATGCATTCTTAGCAGCAGAGTAGCAAAGCGCAAGGCAGATGTCTTCACTGTGTCTGGTTGTGATCCCCAGGTTGTGCCAGTAAGCTTTCGTATGATATTGTTTCTAGTACCCACTTTTTGCTTGGTATTCAGGCAGTGCTTCTTGTAGGTCAGGGCACGTCCCAGGTATTTGGGTGTGCTGCAATGCTCCAGTGGGATTCCTTCTCAGGTAATCCTCAGAGCTTGAGATGTTTGTGTGTTCTTAAGATGAAAAGCACATGTCTGTGTTTTAGATTGATTGGGCGGTTCCTTAGGATCATTCAGACACGTTTGGGTTATTGGTATAAGCAATATCATACATATATTACATTGTTTGTACATGTTTCTGTTAGAATTCCAACTATAAAAACTGAAGATTGTCAAGAAATCTAATGCTACACTACCACTCCTAAGCCAACCACTAGAGGGAAATAGAGATCCACATATGTACACGAACCATTCTAATGCATTGTAATCATGTTTGAGAAAGTCAATTTTTCTCTGATGTGTTTATTATTTCTTCTTCTTTTAAAACAATCTTTAGGTTATCAGTGCAGTTGCCTCTCTCAGTTCACAGGGCGAAACTGTGAGTCAGAGATCACCGCCTGCTTTCCAAATCCTTGTCGCAATGGTGGATCATGTGACCCCATTGGTAGCGCGTTCATCTGCAGTTGCAAGAGCGGGTTAACAGGAGTGACGTAAGTAAACTCATACAACCTGTTGATGGGTTCCTCAGGTTGTTGCTGAGGTTGATCTACCTTGTACAAAGTGACCCGTTCAATCCCTAGCACCAGTCCATGGCACTTGGGACATCTAGCAGAAGGAACGTTAGAGAGCTGATACTTTGAGTTTGACCTGAGCTGTTTCAAGTGGCCAGAGGGTTATTACCTACTGGTCCTCAAGGAGAAATCACTGACCATTCAGCAGCTGTGATGAATCCACATGGCACTTTGTAGAAAAAGTCACTCCAGATTGGATGCTGTTATTGATACGGTTCCAAATGGATGTAACTTTGGCCCAGCTTGTCCAGTGTTTATGGATACCTGACTATGGAACAAAAACAGCTTTGGTCACCTTGGTGGATGTCCTACGAGGAGAGCTAGACAGGGGAAGGTACAAGCAAATTTCTTTCTTTGGTTATATAGCAATGATCACATGGCACAACAGTTTGGAAGTGGCACATTACAAGCAATGTAGTCACCTGTAGTAGGAATTCTCTAGGGTTTTCCAGCACTGCTTATGGCCAACATCTACTGGATGTTGACTACAGAATTACATTGAAGGATGTAGAGATTTCTAAAGAAGTGTTATCTCTCATAATCACTAGGTCTTCTTTCATAACTGGAGGAAGTTAACCATAGAGTCACACTGGAGGATCTAATGAATCCTATAGAGAACACTTTAAAATCAAATCTGTAAAAGTCAAAGCTGCAAATGTGGCAGGACAGCTGTTGTTGTTGTTGTTGCCTTGCTTTAAGGATTGAGATAGAATCATAGAATCATAGAGTTGGAAGAGACCTCATGGGCCATCCAGTCCAACCCCCTACCTAGAAGCAGGAATATTGCATTCAAAGCACCCCTGACAGATGGCCATCCAGCCTCTGTTTAAAAGCTTCCAAAGAAGGAGCCTCCACCACACTCCGGGGCAGAGAGTACCACTGCTGAACGGCTCTCACAGTCAGGAAGTTCTTCCTAATGTTCAGATGGAATCTCCTCTCTTGTAGTTTGAAGCCATTGTTCCGTGTCCTAGTCTCCAGGGAAGCAGAAAACAAGCTTGCTCCCTCCTCCCTGTGACTTCCTCTCACATATTTATACATGGCTATCATATCTCCTCTCAGCCTTCTCTTCTTCAGGCTAAACATGCCCAGCTCTTTAAGCCGCTCTTCATAGATGCAAAGTAGCTCATACTTTAAAAGTAATATGGGGGTCGTGCTGTACTTCTACAACAATGAAAACACTAAAAATGTTGTAGAAGTATGCTGAAAATGCTATCTCCTGAAATCACTCATCCACTTCAATGTCTTTTCCCTTCAGGTGTGAAGAAGATATCAATGAGTGTGAAAAAGAGGAGTGTGAAAACGGCGGCTCTTGTGTGAATGTATTTGGCTCATTTTTGTGTAACTGCACCCCTGGATATGTTGGTCAGCATTGTGGGTTGAGACCAGTCGTTGTTCCTAACATCCAAGCTGGGCATTCTTATGTGGGCAAGGAAGAGCTGATTGGCATCGCTGTCGTCCTTTTTATCATCTTTTTGCTAATTGTCCTCTTCATAGTTTTCCGTAAGAAAGTCTTCAGGAAAAACTACTCCCGGAACAACATCACTTTGGTCCAAGACCCAGCTACTGCTGCTCTTCTTCACAAAAGCAATGGGATTCAGTTCAAGAACATGAGGAACAATTGCGATGGGCGCAATATCTACCAAGAGGTGGGACCACCTCAAGTGCCCGTGCGGCCGATGGCCTACACCCCTTGCTTCCAGAGCGATTCCAGGAACAATTTGGACAAGATAGTTGATGGTCTTGGAGTGGAACATCAGGAGATGACAACATTCCATCCAGAGTCTCCTCGGATCCTAACAGCAAGGCGGGGAGTTGTAGTGTGCAGTGTTGCCCCCAATCTACCAGCTGTATCTCCATGCCGTTCTGACTGTGACTCCATCAGGAAGAGCTGGGAAAATGGCACTGAAAGTGAGTAGTTCAAGCAAAGTGAATGTGGCGTTTTGGCCTATGTAGTGTTGTGGATAGACAGCTGAAGTGAGACTGGGAAGACTCAGGATCTCATCACATTGAGGTCCTTAAAAGCTGGGGGCATCCATGGGACAGCGGGGAAACTGGCATCACCCCCTTTCCCATCAACCAGGAAACCTAGGCTTTCCTTCTTTAATAAATCTTACTGGGCTGCTGTGAGAATATGCATATATGAGAGAAGAATTATACAAACTATGTTCACCTTGTTCTTTGTTTTTTTGGGCTATATGGCCATGTTCCAGAGGCATTTCTCCTGACGTTTCGCCTGCATCTATGGCAAGCATCCTCAGAGGTGAGGTCTGTTGGAACTGGGAAAGGGGTTTATATATCTGTGGAATGACCAGGGTGAGACAAAGGACTCAGGTCATTCCACAGATATATAAACCCCTTTTCCCAGTTCCAACAGACCTCACCTCTGAGGATGCTTGCCATAGATGCAGGCGAAACGTCAGGAGAAATGCCTCTAGAACATGGCCATATAGCCCGAAAAAACCCACAAGAACTTCGTGATTCCAGCCATGAAAGCCTTTGACAATACATATGTTCACCTTATTGGAGCAAAGACAGGATATAAATGTAAATCAAAAATAAATAAATGGATGTTGCTCTACCATTTTTGCATATATCCCACCATCCCTCCCAAGCAATCCAAAGTGTTGTTCATGCCCTATTCCTATTTTATCCTTACATAGCACTCTAGTACATGTTAACCTGAGAGGTTGTGTCTGATCCAAGGTCACATGTCATTGTTGATTTCTTTGTATATTTATGTTCACATCATTCTAAAGACGTGGATGGGTTTCTATAAAATGAAAGTGTGGCCATTAAAACTGGATCATGTATTTCATAGTATATAGGCGGGTATGGTGCAGATAATCAAAACTGACTGAAATAAATGACCCATAATGTAATAGAATATTGTAATGCAATGTTCATGCCAATAAAAACCATGTATACACACGTAACAGTACAGCTACAAGATTTAATTGAGTAATCAGACTAATCTGTGATTTCGATTCTTTGAAAAAAAGCAGATTAAGGGGGGAAAGTGCCTCCTTCAAGCTAATCTGGCAATACGTTTTTAAAACAAGCATTATAAAAACTGCAAGTGGCAAGCAGCATCTGAAAACATCATTGTCAATCTACTCCCACACTAGACAGTGGGTGCATCTTTTGGAAAGGCTTGACATGTTAAAGAGACCTTTTGGGAAACCAGAAATCTCCAAATCTATTTGGAATTGTGACCCTTTTGGAGATTAATTGACATTCACACTATTTGGAATAATCCTGACCCTTTTGCAAAGTATGATCTTCCTGAGAAGAGTTAAATACTCGTTTGAGTGAATCTTCTTCTTAGTGGTAAATATCCAGTAGTATCCATGCAAGGCAAAATAATGTCTGGATTGTTAGCAACAAAGATATGGCAATGCACAAAATATAAAGCAGATTAAATATAAAGCAACAAAAGATTCCCCCCAGGCACTTCCAAGCCATTAAATGCTAATCAAGGTGGTCAGTTGAAACATTCACACCTAGCTCTAGCAGACAGAAGTCCTTTGTCTCACCCTGGTCATTCCACAGAAATATAAACCCATTTTCCTACTTCCAACAGACCTCACTACCTCTGAGGATGCTTGCCATAGATGCAGGCGAAACGTCAGGAGAAAATGCCTCCAGAACATGGCCATATAGCCCGGAAAAACCTACAACAACCCTATAAAGCAGATGTTTAGAAGTGTTATTTCAGTTGCCCAAAAAACATGTACTCTCCCATAAAATATATTTGGGTTTAAATCATGCTCTCAAGAGACAAAAATAAGTAATCTTTGTTAAAAGTAACATGGTTCATTTACTTGCAAACTTCATGTATTCAGGATACAGGTATATTTCTTACTGGTTGAGAGTTTAAACAGTATGTTCTCTAAAGCATTCTGATTCTACTGACTTCTGAAATGGAGTCTGAGATCTGAATAGTCCCAGATTTGGTCACATAGTCTGTAGTCCATCCTACAATGTAGGGTTAAGGAAAACTGCATACAAATACACACATATGCAATATATAAGCAATCTGAATGATATCTATATAAATAAAAATGTAATGTTCATTTGTGGGATTAACGTAACTCAAAACCACTGGACGAATTGACACCAAATTTGGACACAATACATGTATCAGGCCAACGAGTGATCATCACTCATAAAAAGACTGAAAAACACAGCAGAAGGGACTTAAAAAGCCAAAAAAAATAAAAAATGCATTGCAATGCTTGCACAAAAGCACATATATACAAATATACACATATACACATATACACAAAACACATATACACAGACTGGGCCACAGCAACGCGTGGCAGGGGACAGATAGTACATAACAAATAACTAGTATAGGCAGCTTGTAGAAGATTGCTATTTCCAACATCATCTACACTATAAAATTAATGCAGTTCGACACCACTTTCACTGCCATAGCTTGGTGAGATGGGATCCTGCGAATTATAGTTGGTAAGCCACTTGCACTCCTTGGAACAAAAGGCTAAAAACCTAGTAAAACTCATGAATCCATAGCATTGAGTCACTGTATGGAAATACATACTGTATATACTCAAGTATAATTCTAGAAATTTTAGTCAAAGAAATCATTTTTAAAAACCGGAGTTGACTTATCAATAGGTCAGTATAAGTATTGTATGTTAACTCTTATCCACAATAGAACCATCCCCATTCTCTGAACAGAATGGAGAAAAGAGAAAGTGGAGTCCATCCCGGAAGAATCTAAAAGATGCACCAATCGCTTCAGCCCTCTCCACCATGGCGTTGCTTCTGAGTTTTTTGAATGCCCGGGTGGGAAAATGGCAGTGGTAGACAGATGGGTTGGCCCTTGAATCAGCATTGGTGCTTTCTCCTCTCCACAAAATGATCCTCAGCATGTCCACAGGTCATACCAAAATCCATAATTTTGGCTCCAGAACTCATGACTTATACATGCAGTTGACTTATACATGAGTATATACAGTAGGTGTAGTGGATGTAGACAACTAGACATTAAACCCATTGTTATTACCAGCAAGAGTAGTACCACTAAATCAATTAGATATATCTAATTCAATTAAATTTTCCCAATTGCTCTATCTGGATTCCAACAAAGCATATATATCAGCATTGCTTAGCAGCTTCCTTGTAATGGTAATCACCTGCTGCCATTTTCTCCTTTTTTTAGACTGGTTATATAGCATGAATGATGGGCCTGTTGATCCCTGATATGATAGACAATTGTTTCTCTCTTTGCAGTTTGTGGGGGGGAATACTTTCTATCAGAAATGTCTAGATCGTCACCAAACTACAATTAATTAAATCCATGGCAATTAAAGTGGGATTACAGTACTATAATTGTACAGTGTAAAAGGTCCCCTAGTGGGTTGAATTAATGTCTATGGAAAATGGGAGCTGTCTATCACATATCTTTAGGGTTAAAGACAAAGATCTATGTTTTTACTGTACTGATTGGCTTTTATTTTATTATTATTTTTGCATGGATAGGCAAAGGAGTTGATGACATTGAAGAGGTGACCTGTTTTTCAGGAAGCAATAAAGGCAGCAACTCTGAAGTACAGTCACTCAGCTCTTACCAATCGGACTCTGGTGATGATAATGGTAAGCATATTACTATCTTATGACTGCTTCTGCCATAGCAAAGTTTTATTACGTTAGAGACATCTGAAGTATTGGCTGTTTTGGAAGCTGAGAACAGCATTATCTGTTATTGATAGCTGTGAGTGTAATGCAATATAAATGATGGTTTAAATCGTAACCTATGCCTGTCATTCCTATGATTTGTTGTACTGTAGACAGCTATTATGGTGTCTTTGTTTTTAACAGACCATTGTATTTTCTTACTATAATGAGGGAAGATACTTAAGAGCTTTTACAGGGTTAAATTTTCAAGAGAAGGTTCAGAAGATCGACACAAAGGACTGCCTTGCAGTATCTATTCTTGAAAGTTCAATATGTCAGAGAGTCAATGCCAAAGCAAGTAAATACTTAAATCACATTTGTTGCTGCCAAATCACATTAACACACTATATTGCCCTTTTCTGTTATCATCTTACTCCCATTCAAACAGTAAATCTGAAGCAGAGTACAGATAGCCCTCTAAATTTGCTGAGGTTAGGTGCCCAGGACTCCCACAAAAGTGAAAGAACCTCAAATATCTCTTGATCCCACCCCTCCCCAAACCGTATTTAACACACACACACAAAGCAAAATCCATGGATCCAACCCGCAACAAATGTCTTCAAGGCAACAGGGTTCCTTCATAAGACAGATGTGGGCGGCTGGTGGAGCTCGCCACTGCTGTTGCACTACACCATTTTTAATAGAGACTTCGTAGTGCATTCGCAGTCTCTTAGTGTTGCGAGGCTTGCAGTCCCTATTAAAATGGCAAAGGGCAGCAGTGAAGGCATGAGCAAACAATTCATGAATAGTTAAAGCCACAAATCTGATTGACTGGCTTTCTTTTCAGCATGGAAGTTCCCACACAAATCTAGAACATCACTATATAAGACAGCCATTGTAAAAGGTCGGCTTTCCAGCAGTATCACATTCCTAAATTCTGTAATCCCATATGAGGGTTGGCAAGTTTTTCAGCATTTCTGTGCCCATAGTCTGTCCCATCCTCCTCTGTCCCTTCCACCTCCCACCCCGCCTCCTATTCCATTGGCAGATGCTGGCTGGCTCCTGGGGAAAAGGAGGGAGAAGACTACATTACCCAGCAGCCTTCTGTTCTGTCTCTCACTCTTTTTCCCCTCAAGTTAGCCAGCGTCTGCCAATTAGATTGGAGGCAAGAGGACAGGAGGCGGGTGGAAGGTGGGACTGGGGAAACTATGTTATCCAGCAGGCTCCAGGGTGACTTCTACAGTGGTCCTGGTTCTGATTGTATCTTAACCTTATTAATTGTTCCTGCTTGCACCCCAATTGGCAACTGAACAACCCTTCTTTAGCTGATGTGGCTGCTGACTATTAAGTTCGGCTGAGGATGGATTTACATATTCTTACCATAAACCTGCATAGTCTTATTGAATTTGGAATAGTTGCAGATCCTCATAGTAGTTAAAAAATACATATCTGCAATATTGAATGTCAGCCATTATGTGTGATATGTTACTTTGTGGTGAAAGGGTGCCGTAGTGATGTTTCCTATGTGAACTACAGTGACAACTGGTGAAGTCATTAAGGATAATTTCACTTCCCATCTTTGCTTATCAAAGGGTCATTTTGGAGATTATGTAAAAGTTTTTGGAGTTTTAAATTTTTATGTATGTGTATGTATATATTTTAAGTAAATGTAAGAAACCAATACATGAATAATGTGTTGCTCCTTTAGTAACATGTTTTTAAATGAGTTTGGTTATTGTGAACATTCAAGTTATTCACTTACCCTAAGGTGGATATTTCTGGGCAAGATTTGTTCAGAGGGGGTTTGCCATTTACTATCTCTGAGGTAGCATGACTTGCCAAGATCATCTAATGTGTTCCCAAGTCTAAGCATGGATTTGAGCATCCTGAAGTCCTAGTACACATCGATGCTGAACACTTAACGCTAGGGGCTCCCAAATTAGCTCTGTGGTGGCCATACTATGCATAGAGAGGATTCAGGCAACATAGCATTGACCCACATTAACCAAAGTTATGGGTTGCTCCAAATTTTGGCCTGGAATTTGGAGCAAGCCACCACTTTGGTCAGGCCCGTAGCCAGGATTTCATTTCGGGGGGGGGGGGCTGAATTTTTTTCAGGGGGGGTTTCGGGGGGCTGAGTTTCGGGGTGGGGGCTGAGTCTGAGTGAAAGAGGGTCTAGCCTAGCAAACCTTTTGTATCATTACCCCAATACCCCCATGCATATGGGATATATTGAGTATGGTGATCAGATCATGATATGAATAAACATAACAGTTTAAATAATGCACCAGTAAGGCCTTTTCGCGAACAACCATGAGAATTTGGGGGGGGGGGCTGAAGCCCCTCAAGCCCCCCCCCCCCCGGGCTACATGCCTGACTTTGGTCCAATGTAAATAGTTGGGCAGCTCAGAGATGAAACTGGCTGTGTTTACACGGCCGTCCTGTGTTCTCCGAACTGAGGCAGCCAGAGGACATGGGATGGTACTGATCACCTCCTCCCATTCTCCTTGTCAGGGTGATTTCCAAGCATGATATATATTATCTTCCATCATCTGGATGCACAATGGGGTGATCTGGGAAGGTAGGAGTGAGAAGGGAGGTGACCACTGGATGACCCTAGTTAAGTCACACCTTCCCAGCCTCAGTGGAAGGCAATGACAAACCCCTCCTGAACAAATCTTGCCGAGAAAACCCCACGATAGAATTTCCTTAGGGTTGCCATTGGTCTGAAATGACTTGAAGACACACCACTACTGCCTGATTCAATAACTTAGTTATAATCAATAAACATATTGAGGTTGTTTTCAAATGAAAGCTGCTTGAATCAAGGCTGTAGAAGTTGGTCATTTTTCCTGAAGATACTATGCAAGAATAAAAGCATTGCTACTGGAAGGTGTGTGTGGGGGATTTATACCAAAGGACTTCCAAACCATCTCGTATCTTTACGATTGTCTAAAAGATTATGGTTGCATCGAAGATAGCCGCTTGCCTCCGGGGGCCTTTAAGCGAGAATTAATTAAAGATTAGTGTCAGGTAGGCCAGATCCCGGTGTGGTTAATTGAATGTGCTGGACAATCCTGGCTGAATTTATGAACTGATACTCATCGCCACATATGAGCTCTCTGAAAGTGCTGCTTTTAAATGTATCTCTAGCCGCTGTTCTGTTATAGGCATGAGATTATCTGAAATTGAAATGTCCTTCAAGTCGCTGCATAATTCATGAATGCTGTAGGCCATCATCTCTCCATTCAACCCCCCTCCCTTCCAAACAAGTCTTGTCTGTGAGAATTTAATATTGGTAACCTTACAACGCTGTGTGTCATAAATACTAATATGAAGCTGTCCTTCCCTTTATTTCTGCTTTCCTTCTCCCACAAGCTTCCATAGTGACTGTCATACAGCTTGTCAACAATGTAGTTGACAATATAGAAAATGAAGGTATTTAATCTTTTAACTTATTTATCCTGCACTGCCACCTTATTATTATTATTATTATTATTATTATTATTATTATTATTATTATTTAATCTTGATGTTCTTCTTGTTGAAAGATCATAGCAGAACCTCATTAACTTGCATTGTGACTAGTCTGGCCAGAGCGAACGACTTCAATTTGCAAGCAAACGAAAGAGGACAATGATACACAAGAAAGTCCAAGAAAGAATATATATAGAGAGAGAGAGGAGAGAGAGTTGTGATTTGCTTTGTCTGTTTAAAGCCCAAAGGGTCTGGAGTTTGTTTGTTTTCTCACAACTCAAAATGCAATTCCTTGTGCAGTGAAATTAGTCTGTCAAGATGGGTCCCCGAGGAAAATGCAAGCAATGTACCACTTCATTTATCCAACACATTGTGCCCTCCCAGGACCAAAATCCAGACTCTAGGTCCAACTAGAGTAAGCACATTAAATCCATGGCAACCTTATAAGTTGGCTTTTACTGAATCAATAGAATTTTGGTGGCTAATTACTGAAATTCAGCTGAAGAAATACCTAATAAATAATGGACGCACAAGGAAAAATCTAGCAAGCTTATTTAATGGCTTACCTGCTTTGCTGTGGAACCAACTTAGCAATCCACATGTGGTGCATTTTGTGCCTTTTGTACATTCTCTCAACTGAGAGCCTAATGGAAAATTTCAAGGCAGGTGTATGCATTGTGGCATGAGCTTTTGTGAGCCAGAGCCCTTCTTGTCAATTGCATTTTACAAGTAATTTTTACATCTTGTCCGCCCTGTACAATTGGCAGAGACTCCGCCTTTGATGCAGCAGTGTGATCGAATTCAAGAGTAGAGCCATGTCTCCAAATTCAAATCCACTGTGCCTTTTAAGTGCTGAAAATCTCTTCCATGTTACATGAGTTCTAACAGTAATTTTTCATTAATTGAATCAAGAACTAATGCAGTAGTCGCTGGGAGAAAAAAGTCTGCTTTTCTAGCACTGTCATCCGGAGGGCGATGTCTTTGCATCACCAAATCCTTTTAAGGGTGCATCTAGAGTGTTGAATTAATGCTTTGTGACACCACTTGGACTGCAATGGCTTATGGCAGTTGTAGTTTTATGAGGCTCTTCCTCTTCTCTACCAAAGAGTGTTGATGCAGTTTCAATCTGGTAGGAGGTGAGGGACCGCCTCACCCCCTACCAACCCCAGAGATCCCTCCATTCTGAGGACCAAGATCTATTGAAAGTCCCCAGTGTCAAGACCTTGCAGAGCCTTCACAGCAGTGGCACCATTACTCTGGAATACTCTGCCACCTGAAGTCAGTGCCTTGTGGGACTTATCAGCTTTCCGCAGGGCATGTAAGACATACCTGTTTCGACAGGCCTTTGGCTTTTGATATTGCTGTTTTTAAATTGTTTTTTAAATTGTGTTAGATTTTAGCCATTCTTGTAAGCCGCTCTGAGCCCCAGGGGAGTGGCGGCATATAAGTTCGAATAATAAATAAATAAATAAATAAAATCCCAGAATTCACATTGCATTAATTCTGCAGTGTAGATGCACCCTAAAACCATACTAAGAAAGTCTTGATAAAAGCATACTTAATTAAAACGGCCTTCTTCTCAGCTTTGTTTTGGGAAAAGTCCACCTAGACAGAAAAGCAATGAACAACTACTTCTAATTTATTTATTTCGTGTGAAAAGCATTGCATAAATAAGTATAAAACTGAAAAAATAGAGGGAGCACAAGCGGCTAAATAACTTTTGACCAAAAACAAGCAAACCGCATTCTACTTCTAATAAAACACTACTAATAAAGACAGTTAAATTCCATTGTTCCCTCATTTCCTCTGTTCTTATTACCACATAACAGCCTCTCTCTCAACTTGTCCACCAATGTGTTTTGGACTAAGACATCATCAGTTCCATCTATCATGACCAATGTTTTGGTTTGAGTCCAAAATATCTGGAATCACCCAGGTGGCAGTCAAAGTAAAAGATGATCTGGTCAAAGAAAAAGATGATCTGGGCATAGGTGGCCTGATGTTCTAACTTTGGAAGAGGCAATTTCATAATTTGTTTGGGCAAATCGTAGCACAATTTACTTTCTCTTTGTTTATCCCCCTTCTGAAACATTAAATCCAGCAGTGTCCTTAATTTGCTGGGAGGAAAAGTCAAACTGGGATGTAATGTCCTCCAAACCTACCTTTCTTTCCACAGATTCCAGCCAGTATTATTATATTTTTATTTATTTATTTGAGAACCAACAAATCATTATTACCACCAAAATTAATTTCAACTCAGTATGGCTTGGGCCTGATGTGAAATCTCCTGTTTGGGAAGTGCCATTAAACTATTTGGAAGCTTCTATGAACTTGGAGATAAGCTAAGCTACCTTGTTTCAACATAGGAAACGGTAGTCCTTTTGAATTTTAGGCCAGGCATGTCGGCAAGTTAATGAGGTTCTGCTGTGTAAAGCAAGATAACTGCACAATAAACCCGTACTAAGGCATGCTACAGTATGACCACAACGAGTGGCATGTGGACTTAAAACCAGGAACACAAGAAAGGCCCTTGTGTCCCAACAACATAGTGCTCGGAGTCTGTTGGGTTTTTGTTCTGTTTTTGGTTTTGGTTTGTAAATAGTCAGGGCCGGTTCAGACAGTGCTTCCTGAGCTGCAACCACTGGTTATAGAAAAGAAGATAAAAAAGAGCCATGTTGGATCAGACTCAAGGCCTATCTAGATCAGCATTATCTTCACTCCGTTATCTATGGAAATTTCTCCAGAAGGATATAAATGCAAATGTACCCTGGATCTCAGATTCCCCAGTATCCAATATACAGAGACATTCTCAGAAACTAAAAGTATAACGGCCATATTCACGTGGGATAAGTTTTCAAACTTTGCATAGACTTGCTAAACAATATAGCAAACCCTACTGAAATGAAAGTCTTCTGACCCAGGAAGACTCTAGAGTTGCTTGGAAAGGAAATATTTTGATAGGCATGAATAAATGAAACCATGAATATCAGTCCTATAGATATATAATATAATAATAATAAATATAATAATACAATATAAGAGTTATATATTTTATATTACATGTAATATTACTAATAATATTACAGTATAGTCGTATAAAAATATAGTAATATATAATACAAATATTGTGCTGTGCTAATAATATAATATATTGTATACACATATAATATTGATAATAATATTATTATGTAATACAATATGATACTAATCATAATACAATATAAAATTATATATTTTATATCACATGTAATATTACTAATAATATTACAGTATAGTGGTATAGTACAATATCGTAATATACAATACGAATATTGTGCTGTGCAAAGAATATAATATATTGTATACACATATAATATTGATAATAATATTATAATGTAATACAATATAATACTAATAATAATACAATATAAAATTATATATTTTATATTACATGTAATATTACTAATACTATTACAGTATAGTGGTATAGTACAAAATGGGAATGCATGATACTGATATTGTGTTGTGCTAATAATATAATATATTGTATTTACATATAACTTGTAAGCCACTCTGAGTCCCCTTTGGAATGAGAAGAGTGGCATATAAATGTTATAAATAAATAAATAAATAAGGGAGTCATAATGTATAGCTAATCCAACTAGTAACTACAAATAACTCAATAATTTTAAGATCTATCCAAGGGGACAGTCACCATGCCATTTTGGAACAGTGAATTCCACAGTTGAACTGAAATACCAAGCAAAATTATTGATTTTGACTGGAGCATTTGTTGAATTGAGGAACATCAGCATCCCAGTTCCAGTGTCTCATGTTCCAGTTCTGCTCTCTCATTTAATCAGAATCCAGTGAAAAACCGAACAAAGAAAAGTCCTGATACCAAGGCATAATTCAAATAAACCAGAGGATGCTAACAGCTAGATAACACAGGTTGAATATCCTTTATCCAAAAATCTTGGGACCAGAAGTGTTTCAGATTTTGGAATATCTGCACTTATAAAAACATACATAATGGGATTTCTTGAAGATGGGACCCAAATCTAATTACATAATTCATTTATGTTCCATATATATATATTGTACACATCACATACAGGTAATTCTATATAGCATTTTAAATACTTTTGTCCAGGAAACAGAGTTTATATACATTGAACTATGAGAAGGCAAATGTTCCACTATCTCACCCAACGATGTGGACAATTTTGGAGTATTGTAGTTTTTGAAACTTCAGATAAGGGATGTTCAACCTGTACTAGTTAGTTTGCATTGTTTCTGGTCTCCCTGCTTCTTAAACTTATTGCAACCACCTTAGGATTGGATGTGAGGGTGATCTGGCTGCGACACCTGTCACCCCATTGATTGCCAGGGTTGATTCGGCTGATTTAGCTGACTAGGCAGGTGTCCCTCACCACTCCATGTGTGTCCCTCCCTAAGCTGTGCGCTCGGTGGAAGAGGATGACATACCAGGTGTAGAAGGAGTGTACTGAGGATTGGTATTCCAAAAGGTTGTATCAGAAAGGGGAAATTCTCCTGCAATCTGATTTTTATATAAAAATCCCTCCTTCTTTGAGAACAAAAAGTAAGCTTCTAGGTTCCTTAATTCATAATAAGACAGGCCACATTTCCCGAGAAATAAAACAAGAGAAATTATATTGGATCAGCTCAGGAGTTACGTTTCCCCAGTTAGGGAAGTTAGGAGGACAGCCAGATTTCCCATCTGTACCACCAATAGCAGCTCAATGGGCAGACATTAGGAGATGATAGTGCTTATTTCCGTTTTGGCCGAAGAAGCTAGGGAGTATAGCATCCATTCTGCATGCTTGTTGTTTTTCTGGCCAATTAGCCGTCCTTGTTCCCAATGTGGAAAGTGATATCTTTAGCTAGGAGTGGACTCTGTGGTGCTTGCTTCCCGTGGCCCAATTGACTGCCTTTCTATTCTGTTCTGTTCAGGTTGTTATACCGTGCCCCTCACCGTGGTATCTGAGCGTACTTGGGCCCAGATTTGTTTGAACCGGCCCTGAAAATGGTAGACTCTTAATTTTTTTTCTGTTTCTCACTGAGCAAAAGAGAAATAAACCATTCATCACCTTTTTAAAAACACCTATATAGACTTTTAAACATGTATGCTTGAGTCAATTTTGCATGTTTGATCCAAATAGTTAAAATAACGTATTCTTCCAATTGATGCAAAGATGATGTTTCTACTTGTGGCTATATAAGTCTGATTAGAAAAAGCAGATTAATTTTTAACCTTAAACTGAAGCATGGCTTTAAAACTATTTGTACTAATACTTTGCCAGGTGTGTTTTTAGAAGCATATGCCATATTGTTAGAATTTCTGGAAAGCACCTGCTTAACCCAGTGTTGATTTAAGACTTGGGAATTTCCAGTGTTGCTTTTTTTCACTTTGTATTTAACAGTGACTGGTATGGACCAAGGACAGAACTACAACAGAGGTGACTTATCTGTCTGCTTGAAGGCTAAATATTTAACATGAGACTAATATGTTGAATTTGGTCTCTCTCTTCTGGGTCATGATGCATGTCAGAGCATGAACAGCGCATACTGTGGTTTTCTTTCAGGGTTTTGCTGGTTCTTTTTCATTTCAATATCAGTTATTTTGTGTTGGCTGTATTTTTAAACATTTCTTCCCCAGACCAAGATCACAGCAGTGAGAGCATGCTGACTTTCATTAATGTTTATATATTGAAGCACTTTTCTAACTGACAGATGGATTTTCACATCTCCCATGAGCAGAGCCTTGTGTTCGAGTCTATCATTTTAATTTCTCAGACTTTACTTTCTTTACTTTAAAATGGTTGTATTGTGCTGAATGTTATCATGACGTCAGGTTGCTTCTTTCCATCTCAGCCAAAGCATGGTTGGCCACTTGTTGTTTTTAAAGAAACGACTACAATGCATGTCTTTTATTTGCATATGCAGCCTCGTTATTCCAAGGCCCAAAGCAGTTTGTTTTCAACCAGATGCATGCCATAGATGTAGGCCAGTATTCTCTGACCCTTCCCCAATCATGGTCGATTTGTTTTTCTTTTGCAGCTTATCACTGGGACACTTCTGATTGGATGCCAAGCACTCGATTATCTGACATTGAGGAGGTGCCCAATTACGAGACCACAGATGGCAGCTCAGCACATCATGGGAGCACAAGAGAGCTGGAAACGGATTATTACCTTGGTGGCTATGATATCGACAGTGACTACCCTCCTCCACAAGAGGAAGAGTTTCTGCACCAAGACCAGTTGCCACCTCCTCTCCCAGAGGACTACCCAGACCAATATGAAGTCCTTCCTCCATCACAGCCAGTCTCCATGGCCAGCACACTTAGCCCGGATTGTCGGCGACGGCCACAATTCCACCCGAGCCAGTACCTCCCTCCACATCAGTTCCCCAATGAGATGGACAACGGCGGGTCTCAGACTGGGAATGAATTTAGTACTTTTGGTGTGGGCCCAGGTCCAAATGCAGGAACCATTAGTGGGGCAAAGAAGCCCTTATCCTTACACAATTCACTTGATGCATCCTCGTCCGATGTTTCGGCGAGCTGTGGCTTCGATGACTCTGAGGTGGCTATCAGTGACTATGAAAGCATTGAAGAGCTCCGCCTGGATCATCATCACATTCACATTCCTTTTGTGGAGACCCATCAGCAGACTCAAGTGTGAAGAAGCTGTTTTAGTTGCTGTTGTTGCCGTTGTTTGGTCTCACTCATAGCATAACTGTTAAGAAGAATGTCTTTCTCCCTAAGAAACTAGATCCCTATAAGGGGCAAGGTGGAAAGCTAGCATAACCCATTTTTAACTACTGTACACAAATACTGTCCAAAGAGCAAATGATTGCCTCAGAATATTGGTTACCATTCCTATTAGGGTGGACCCACTGAATCAATTGCTGATTGCTAAGTCTACACTTCTGTCAATCCCACTGATTCATTGTGTCTATCTGGCTGAGACTAGCAGTTGCATTTCCCCTGATGTCTGCTGTTTACTACTGGTTGAGAGGGGGCAATCATTTGGTGATGGACAGTTTTATCCCCCCCCCCCCAGTTTTGTGTGGAGTATTTTACTACTAAAAGTGTTACATGGCTAAAATACTTGCAGAACAAAAGTTTTTTAAAAATCAGATTCCTACATTAAATTAGCTGCTAAAGCTACAGTGGTGTTGAAGTCCTTTCCAAACAAGTTAGTAGCAAAATTACTCATCTATGAAAAGATCACTTTCTTTAGTGATCAATACAATACATAATTATGGTGTGTGTGTGTGTGTGTGTATGAATGAGGCTGCAGCCCTTACTGCAGAAGATGAGGGCATTGGCAAATACCTAGGTACCATGTTAAGTAAAACATTAATTTTGTTTATGCCTATCCCAATTTCCTCTTATTCAGCAGTATTTTTCATTGATGTGAAAAAATTCTGTAAAAACCAGAAATTGTTGCGTTTAAACTGTATGTGGCCTCTTGCCCTGTTTGCTTTTGTGCCACAAACAACTGAAATAGCCAATTTTTGCTACCTTTCTAAGCTTTCTTTTTCTTCCTGGATATTAAGGGGTTTCCTTTGAGGATGGTTCGGTTTAAAAGAGTGGCAGAGGAAGTACCCATCCTTCCCAGAGTGCACTCAGCCATCCAGAAATCATACTGAATGAGTAAATTGTTACTCTTGGAGAATAGTCATGGATGAATGGATGCTCTAACAGGTTTTTCAGCCCCCTGGCTTATCCCGATTCCCGTCATCACAATGTTAATGGGTGTTTCCAGTGCATGCTTTCCAAGAAGTTAGAGATGTTGGTGCGGATGCAAGAATTACACTTTAAAGTCTCTGTCTCGTTAAGCTAACCAACAACCAATTATTTTTGGTGTAGAAGCTATTTATTCATTCAATTGGCAATACAACAAACAAAATTGAAGTTTAAAAAACAAACAAATAAGCAGTATCACTCCATGTAACACTTTTAATAGCTAAGGGACTCGGAAATCCACATCCTAAACTTGGTAATTCATTATTTCATTGCCCCCTTTAGCATCCTGTAAGAGAATGATTGCTAGTGTTTGTGATGCAACAAATGATTTGATTAAAATCTTGAGATTTGTGTTAAAAATGGGTTTGCGCCAAGATGATAAATTGTCCAGATGCATTTTCTGCTTATACTTCCAAGGTTAATGTACTTGTCCTTTTGTTCTCTCTCCGCATTGCCCCGAGTGCCATAGGAATCCATTTATGATGTGTTTCATGAGATGTTTCTCAAGCTCTCCTCAGCCTCCTGATATTTTCTGGGCAGTGAGGACCCAGAACATGATACTTGAACTTTGCATCTCCCAGTTGCAAATAAACTAAAGAATAGATTTTTCTTCCAGATTCAAAGTAGTTCTTCCAAGCAAGTTGCAATCAGGGTTGGTTGAAAGTGTGCAGTTAACTCAAACATTACTTGATGAGGTCTCTAGCTTCCCTTTGGGTTGGCCTGATGGATCGGCACAATTAATTATCTAGAGCAGTGTTTCTCAAACTGCTCCTCCAGATGTTTTGTACTTCAGCTCCCAGAAATCCCAGCTGTTAGGAATTGTGGGAGCTAAAGCCCAAAACATATGGAAGAGCACAGTTTGAGAAACTGCTCTAGAGCAGTGGTTTCCAACTTTTAGTCTACTAGGTGTTTTGGACTTCAGCTCCCAAAATTCCTGACATTTGGCCAAGCTAGCTGTGGCTTCTGATGAAGTTCCAAACACCTGGAGGAGCAAAGGTTGGGTGCCACTGCTATAGATGGATGGGTGGATGAATTGATACGTGATAGTTAAAAGACCAGTGAACATTTGTTCCAAATTTTCAGGCTCATTGCTACAGTACAGAATGAGCTAACTTGAAGTAGACTCCAATAGGACGCTGAACTCTGAACCATTGTTTAGTTGAACTATTGAGCTTGATTTTTTCTATCCCCCACTAAGTAATTATAAAATAATCCTTTCCAGCTTTCACTTACAAAAAGATTCTTCAGCTAATGCTTCTCTGGAACACTTAATATCTAGGATTATTTTTTATTTTAATTTGTATTTGTACTGATACATATCATTATGAAGGGAATAATCTGGAACACTGAAAACCGAATGCAAGYAGCTGAACATTGTTATTTCCTGTGTTTGGTGGATTATTACCTCCTCGTTTTATACTAGTCTTCCACAGACAGATCCGGGACCTCCCCCCCCCCCCACACACACACACATTTAAACCAAGCAATCCAGTAGCACTTTGGATAGGGGTTATCTTTCCTTTTCCTTTTCCTTCCTTCTGTTCATCCATACAATTCTCCATATACTCCTAGGATACTTCCAACTGTTATCAGAACCTATGCAGTCAATCTCTCAATTTTCTGACTCCACTCTCTTTTACTTTACCAGCAGCTGGCTGCTCGCTTACACCTCTCCCCCCACGAGCCCTTTGGTTGGGCTAATCCTATTCATTAGTTAGGCTCATCCTGTTCATTTACTCCACCATCTTTCCATTTATGCTCTTTTCAGCACCTAGTAATGTATGTTAGCTGTTCTCTTCTAAGGCACTTTCATTATTCTTGCTAAAACCACTGGCCATCATCAAGAAGATAGTAGGCATCTTCAGATTAGCACAATGAAGAATGGACTCATATTCTCTGCTCACCTTGCCTTCCAGCTATAAAGAACACAAACTTTTCCACTTTTACATGAAAGTATCGATTCATATCTTATCAACGTTTTGAAGGTACTGGTGTCAGCAAACACTTACTGAGAGCAGCCTGCAGTGAAATCTAGTTCTAAATTTGGTTGGAAATTGATTGCACTGGAACCATTGGGATTTCAGAAGGCCTTAATTCATAGCCATTTTATTCCCCGCAGATGAGATAGACTTCTAAAGTGAAACATTTAAGAGATTACAGATCGCATTTCTACATCTTCATACATTTTGTGTATTCACGCAAAAGTCCCCTGCCTCTAGTCTTTGGGGACATCTTGGGGAAGACCACGTGACACCTCTTTTCCTGATTTGGTCTTATCTACATGGAAAGAATTAGGTTTTTTTAAAAAACGAGTAAAAAGCATTTCTCAAAAAGGGAGGCCCTGACCTCAGTTTAGAAAAAGAAAGGTTTTCTTACCCTCAGAAGTAGTTCAGATTATCCCACTCTGCATCAACTATGGTAAGGATCTAATGTCCACAACCTTCTTTACAATCCAAACCAAATCTAGTTCTTCTTTTCAATCCAAACCAAATCTAATTGAGGGAGTACTTATCTAGGCATTTGTAGATCCTGTAGTGTAACTCAATTGTTAACTTTAGCCAGCACTTAACCATAGAATTGTACTGGAACATCTAGAGATTCCTCAAGAGCTGATCTCTCTAGGGATCTCTTCACGTGGGGCCAAATAGCCTTGTTTTGATGCTTTTGAACAGGTACTGGACAGGGATTGCTGGGCATCATCAGATGATTTGCAAGAAGCCCCGCCCACATTCCTCCTTTTGTGGCTGGGAAGCATGAGAAGATGCTTCCTCCACCACAGGGAGGAAAGTGTTTTTCAGGTAGCTCCCATATGATGGGGATAGGGACACGGTGCCAATGCACCGTGTCCCGTTCCCACCGTATGATGGGCAAAGGAGAGAGGGCACGCAGGCTGCCATGAGGTATCCTGTACAACTTCCTTTTCACCAGCAACTGATGTACAATGGCATGGGCCTCAGGAACCATGTGAAAAAGGTTCTAGGAATCTCTAGGTTGTCCATCTTGATTCCGTGATCATTTTTCAGCAGAAGTTGACCATAGAGTCACACTAGAAGACCTAAGGTGTTCTTTTCACCAGAAACATTTTAATCAAATCCATGAATAATCAGATCCATCAAATCAAATCCGCAATGTAGAGAACCAACAGTACTACCCCAAGTGCCAAGTTGAAGTCTGCATGGCATAATGATCTTCTCCCAAAATCAGCATCATCTCACACTAAAAATATTCTTGTCAGTTCCCAAGATCCATGCATTGCATCTTTTCAAATCCTTTTTGCAGTGATAAATCCAGGCCCAATGCTTCCTCGGTTACTTAAGACTTAGGTAAAGTTTGCTCTTCAAATCTTTGTTCAACTTTTGCTCATGATAATTGTCAATCTGGCAAAGCAACTCTAAAACACTGCGGTAGAGTAAAAGAAGTCTCAGCAGATAACTTAGATGTTTTGTATGCCCATTTAATATTCCCCTGACTTTATTAGAGTCAAATCCTACTTTGGAGACTTACCTGCTTGTTTCCTTTCTTGACTTGGTCAAAACATTGATAGCACAGCTGGAAAAAAAAGAGGAGATACTAAAGGCAAAGCTGGAGTCTTCCAGAAATGAAGTTAGGCTCATTGAAGTTCTTTTCGTATGTCCACTTTAACCCATTGACTTATCTCATGAAATCTGAGTTAGTTAGGATTACCTGAATCTTTATATATTTATAGCCCGCCTGCCTTCCTTATTGGCTGAATCTCATAATTTAAAATAATCTCTTCATCCCCACACAATCTCTGGTAACTTCTGTACTCAAAATAAGGTCTTTGTGGATTAGATGCACTCCCCTAACTTGCAGACACACTATGAACAACACAGTTCCATAACCTCACAGGTCAGTCTTCAGTCCATGGAGAACTTTCTTCTTTCCCCATTCTTGTCTTCTCTATTGACATACATGCCTGATCCAGCCCAAAGCTAGATGTGCAAAAACCATACTAAAACTACTTCCTGGCATATATTTTTCAGATCAGCTTTGCCCAATGGGTTACCCTGCAATCCAAATACAGCTCACAACTAGGATGTCAACAAAGCTGATTGTTTGCCTACCTGGGACTTACTTGTAACACCTAGGGAGGCAGCGATGTATACCTAAAATATATAGTGGTCTTTGGGGACTATAGGATATGCATTTCTGCTCTGAACATAAAAAGAAAATTTCTGAATATAACGTTATTTGTGACACCATCTCTATTTGTTGTCCTTTAGAGCTGTGATCACATAAAATCTGGAATATATTTGTCTACTGATTTCACCAGGTAAGATTTAAACCAAAAGAGTGTAAGTTTTAAAATTATTATTAAGAGGACATAGGTTATATCATCTATAGAAGGAGAATTGTCCAATTACAACAAAGGATAGGAGTCTTCCACAAAGCATTTGGGGATAGAATCTATGGAAAGATCTTAAATCAAGACAGTGATAGACTCATAAACCTTTTCACAATTATGCAAAATTTGAATTTTTTTTTTGTGAGCTCATTTTGTTTTATTTGCCTAACCAAATGTTTTCCTGTAACTTGACATATCTGGTATTACAATATGGTACGAACCCCATGTCTGCAAGATGGTATCTATGGTTTCTTTCATCCACTTCCAACAAAATAAGTTGGACATCTCTGGGCATTTTCTATGTCCTTCAGCACAACGCTCCAGTATTCGTGGACCAGATACAATTCAATAGAGTTCTTTTTTATCTGTGGTTTCCCGTATCTATGTAAAGTCCGGGAACGTATCCCCCATGGATATGAGGGACATACTGTACACATTAAGTTTGTCCATTATTTTAAGCTTATACTTCAAAGACTATGCACCAAATGGAAAGGCACTGAACTTTTCATCATTTCATATGGGAGAAAGGCAAATTGGAGTGTGCAGCAATTATGTTGATCTCATCATGTAAAACATTTTTAATAAGCAATAATTTATAAATGTCGTATTACAAGGCCATAACCAGGCTCCAGCAGTTGACAGTGTTAAGGATACATGGGAACTGAGTGATGGAAGTTTTAATCCTCACTTGGGTAGCTTAAACCTGTCTAGTAAGGCCTGGGCTGGGTTGTTTCCAGAACTATTTTGCAAGCCCATGTTAACTGCATTTGGGGAGGTTTGTTTGGGAAACGTGTGGGAAGTTCTCTTTGACGCACTGTATAAGAAGGATAATTGTCTTGTAAATTTTTACCTGTTGCAAACAGGCTGGTTTGTAAAAGATGTATGTTTTTGGTGTTCAGAAAAAAGTTTATAAAATAATGTATATAATAATTTTGAAATTACCAGGCTTTTGTAGATATTCATGCCAATTGGGTTGCTTTTTAATTTTTTTTTTGTGCTCATTTGTGTATTCAGTGTCAGATTAAACATTTAAGGTTATGGCAAATTAAGAAAAAGGCATACAGTTTTGGAAATGGTACTTCTTAATCACTTCAGAATGTACTGTAACTTTCCTTCCGATCACGACTTATCTTTTAACTACCACTCTTTCTGACAAATGATTCCTTAATGACTTTTGCCCCTTGAATGAATGTGGTTTTTGCACAAATGCTATCACAGACATGTTTTCTAATGCCATTTCAGGAGGTTCCATTGTTATTCCAACCACACAACTTTATGCAAAAGGGAGGATCATCTCTTCAAGTGGATCTGGCCCCACATCAGCAAATGCATCGGTCTTTCATATTTACTGTCAGCAGTATTGTCTTGTGTTATTTTGCTATAAAATGAAAAACAAAGAAAAATGTGTACAGGTTTGTAACTGCCAAAATTTGCTAAGTTGATCGTTAAAACCAGTTTTCAAGTAAAAAAAACAAAAAACAAATGGTATTGGCTGTTTACTGACTCCTTTATTGAAATAGATTCTTTCAATCCCATTAGTGGCATAATTTTTTGCTCCTTTCTGGAGTTACAGAAAAAGGTATTCAGTTCCTCCTTGCACAAACTCCTTACCCAAGAACATTTCAAGAACAAAATGCATTGCTACACTTCCGCTCAAGCGGAATTTAGTCTGGTTCAATGCAAAAGACACATTAACTTTGCACAAAGGCAAGAGGAAAAAGAACAGAAGAGTCAAAAGATAAACTCTGTTGCATACAAAATAAACAGTGCAACAAATTTGCATAGTCATTGTAAGAATTACAGAATGCAAAAGAGCATGGCTTCTTCACCTTCCTTCAAATGAGCAGCGCAAATGGTTGTCAAAATACAGTT